ACTGCCGCTCAGAGTGTAGGCATCTGTGTGACACACCCCTGTAGCGAAGATCTTAGAAACACAGGGTCAACTTCATGTCAGACAAAACTGCTAAACATGGGGGGGATATAAAATATGTTAGGCCTGATATTAGCATTATCTTAATTACCTGCCATATAAGTTAAGGCATACCCAAGTTATATAACATCAACATCATACAAGTCTTAAAAACTGTGGTCTCTTATTTCCTTTTTGTAATGTGAATCAAAAGAACACAGCAGCTAGAGTCTCAGTTGCATTGCCAAGCATGCAATGCTTTGGTTTACCTTGATGCGAACTTCATGCGCCTTAGGTGGGGCTACCTCCACCTCCTCAATGGAGAGAGGCTTGCCAGCTTCCCAGGCAACAGCTGCCTTGCACTTGATGACCTGAAGGCAAAGCAAGTGTATTTGTTAGTTTTTATCCAAACAATGCTTGTACAAAGTAATTGATCAACAGTAGCTTTGGGTTTAAATGAGGTGTCACAGTTTGGGTGACAGGTGGAACTTTTCACATAGTGAACTTTGAACTGTATCCAGGCTTATGCAAAGCAAATCTAGAGATCCGCAGTTCACTGTTTGGGTGAGGTTGTGCTGTAACGGCCCGTCCACACAGCAGCGTTAAAAAAATCTTGGAACGCTGAGGCAGCAGAGCGGAGATTTTCAGGATAAATTGAGCAATGTTCAACTTTTGAAGCTGAGGTGGAAGCGTCAGCCAATCGTGTATGCAAATCTGACAGTTCAAGCGCTAGCCAATCAAACCGCGTGTATGCTGGGAGAGACATACCGCAGGTCATTTCCTCATATTCCAAAAAATGGAGGAGAAATAAATTAGCGGTAGGGAATCACCCGGTGCTTTATGACCAGTCCCATTTACCTACCGGGATATAAACCGGAGGAGCCAGGCATGGAGGGAGGTGGCAGAGACAGTGGTATGTTTTCGCCTGTTTGGGGAGTTTATATCCAGTTTACTTCGGCTTTTTTGCTTCTATGTCGGGGGCAGGAGATTCATGTGATTGGTTGTTGGTGCCTTGCTCGCAAAAAATCCCCAAGCTTCAGATACGCCCACCTCCAAGATTTTTTTAACGCTGCTGTGTGGACGTACCGTAATACCATTAATCCCTTGAGATACTTCAAGTTTCTGATGCTAAAGGAGTGAAACTGCGATTTATGGTGCACCAAAATTACTTTTCCCGGTTCCTTCACCAGTCCGAATGGAAGATATCTCACTGGACAGGCATTGGAGCATACCAGTTGCTAATGACGGACCAAAGATCAGATCCATAATAGAAGACTGATTCTTTCTTTGTACTTCTTCATTCAGCGAACGTGAATGGGTGCACGCTAGTAAACAGTGCCTTATGTTTTAGGATATAGGTGTATTATTGCAAACGTTACGACACATACGTGATGAAATAATGCATTAAAAATGTGCATTGTACATTGTGTGCGAAAAGTACTTACTTTCCCAGCTGTCTCCATGTTCGTTCCTTCAGCACAAGAGGGTGGGGCGTTGCGCGGCCGTAAAGGAGTTAATCTCCGGACCAATCAGAAACGAGAATATACGGCGTAAGAATGACGCAGGTCCGCAGGAAATGCATGTCAGTCAGGAGATGTTAGGCTGCTCAAGTCTGTCCCAAAAAATATCTCTTTGTGGGTTGTTTTTCTTTAATATTGAAATGGTATGGCCGATTGTACAGCCATTTGTAATTAAAAATAACTATATATTTCATACAGTGTATCACGTAAGTCAGCGCCACAAACAAAAGTATTTTATTTTCGTTCAGCTACAAGACAAGTGAAAGATCAACCTAAGACTTGGAAATAGACATTTGAACAAATTGGTGAAAACTGAGCAAACCGCGAAAAGTGTTAGGTCTTCATGTTATGCTACTGAATGTGGGATTGCGAGGATATTTACGTGTATAAAAATAGGTATAATCTGCATACGTTTGCTAATTCTAGTTACTATAATTTCGTAATATTGAAGTTCCTAAAAAGCCCCAACATCCAGTTTATAGAACATACTTATTTTACTACACAAAATTACTTTCACACCCATTTATTTCTTAATTAAATGATTAAAATCCATGAGCATCAGATACTTTGAACCACAAGTCTTACTCTTGTAAAACCATTTGTATGTGCATTGCAGGTTTCAAGTTTCCACTTTGTTCTGTCGCATTTTTGACCATGACTGGAATCCAAACTATGTGTGTAACCTGATGGAGTCAGTGTAGAGTTCTGCACAGTAATGCTCAAACACCTAAGTGAATCAACAATAAGCAAAACATTTTTATAATGGAGGTAGACTTTAGAATATTCTTTAACTTAGGAAACGTGTGAGGACACTTGGCATTCTGATAAAAGGTCTGAGAATAAATAAAAAAAGGACAAGTACAAAGTTTTTTTTTTAATGAAGGCCTTTAACAAAAATGTGACAACATTCTGCTTAAGATTATACAAATTATGGGTATTAAAATGTCTTCAACCAACAGCATATAAAGATTTCCCACACATTGGAGGAAATAATACATTGAGGTTTGTGATTGGATCTCTTGAAGTCTTTGTCAAAGTACAAACATCTCATTGCCAAACACTTGGAAAGTATCAGAATAATGATAAGCCTGTACATAAAAGGAGCCCCTTAACTCTCCATGAAGGCTAAAAAGGTCCTCATTATGTTTCACACACGCATACATATGAACCTTTAAAAAAAGAATCCATCACATATTCAAAACTGGTAAAAAAATGAAACAAAGAAAAAAGGGATAATCCATTCAAGTTCTACAAACAGAGGCAATGTCCATATTCGGAGTCCAACAGCCAACGCACTGGCATAGACGCAGCCTTCTTGCTTGTGTAGCACAAAACATGGATGACACCAGACCATCACCGTCAGATCATCTTGAACCTGAAAGTGAACGAATACAGAAAAATGTTTACCTTTCACACCATAAAAACAATTTAAGTTCGCAGAACATTGAAAAAGAGCAAACCTCTGAATCCACGTCCTCCTCCGCCTCCTCTTCCCCTGAAGCCTCCTCCACCACCACGGTCGCCTCGAAAGCCTCCACCACGTCCACCTCCGAAGCTTCCACCACGTCCACCTCCGAAGCTTCCACCACGACCACCTCGGAAACCACCTGAAACAAAAATGGAATTAATAAAGCTATGCATACAAGCCATGCTCTAAAAAAACCTTTTACATTCACAATAACTGGGGAAAAAACCTCTTCTTTAGGATCATGAACTACAGATTAGGACACAGACAGGAATATTTAATATGAGACAAAGTTTGGATGCTTCACCTCCACGACCTCCACCTCTACCCCCTCGGCCTCCTCTGGGCGGACCCTTCTCTCCTGGCGGCCTGGGGAGGAATCTCTGCAGCGGGAGGAGCTTCATTGGATCTATATAAAACTAAAAGAGACATAGTGTTGATAACAAAGTGTAATATAGAGGAATGGAAAATCTCTTAAGTATGAAAATAAATGTCTTCATACCTTCTGCATTTTCTTGAAGGAAGACGCCTTCATGTTTTCAGAAAGTTTGACGGAAAAATACTGCAATATTTGGTTAAGGATTTAACAGGATTTGAGCTTAACATTTGTATATAATTCCCAGAAGTTGACCTGTACTTTATTTCACCACACACGCAAGATTAAAACAACAGAAAGGATACAAAGTCGCGGAGCTGGCCGAATATCTCATCCACCTTCCCGATCTGCTCTTTGTTTTCCAAGTAAACTGGGGCGTTGAAGTAGGGAACTTTGTTCTCCTCTGTTGTACATTTGACCACAAGGTCATCTTCACAAGGATGCACAAACTCTCCCACAGCTGAAGAGAGGAAATACAATGAACAAGTTAGTTAGGTATACAGTGTTCTGACATCACAAAAAAGGCCTATTTCCAATATGCATCCCCATGTTGACTATTAGCCCTTAATAAAAGGTTTCCACAGTTTTATAATCCAGCATACTTCTGAATACCCAAACATTAATTGTCTTTTGGACAACAGTGATGCCAATAACATTTTAAAGCAACACAAGAGAAACTACTTTTTTGTTCAAGCTTAATAGCCTTTTTGTTCAAGCTTAATAGCCTTTAAGTATATACACTCATTACTACATGTGTCTTTCTAATAATTTCCCTAGTGGTAGAGACCTGCAAGGATACAAAAATGTTTTTAACAACGTGAAGCAAATTGTTTGTTACATTTCTTCTGATATTCTCATCTCAGTGTTTAGTGCTTAGGATGAACATTGGAGCTGGGCCCACCTCTAACTTGCTGGCAGCTTTTGCAAGATTTTAACAGAAGTACTGCTTTTATGATCTTACCAACAACATATTCTGGAGGTCCGTAGTCATTAAAACCACCTCTGCCGCCACCACCACCACCACGTCCGAATCCACCTCCTCTTCCCCCTCGAAATCCACCTCCTCGGCCTCCTCCTCCTCCGCCTCCTCCATATCCACCTCCTCCACCTCGGCTAAATCCTCCACCACCTCTGCCTCCTCGTCCACCACCTCCTCTGAAAGACATTTTTCTTCAAATCCTAAGTGATAAACACGAAAAAGAAAGGAATTAGTTAAAACAAAACAAAAACAAAACCTGTGGTTGTTTAAAGTGAGCATTGACCAACCGAAGCTAAACAATGTGCAGTGAATTCAATGCATTCAACGAGCTAACATCGTGGATCCAGCAGCAAGGCAAACGTTTAGCTAACATGCTAACCCAATTCTGTCTTTAAACAACACAATCCAGCTGCATTTCACCACAAACTAAGCTATATTAGTTTAGTTTCAAAATATAAACGTTGAAAAGTCTGTAACACTGTCTACACACAACTAAAGCAGCTTACTCACAAATGCGAACGGTTAACTGCAGCTATTTACTCCGAGGGACTCCCATGCGATGACAACACGTGTGGCCAAGGGCTGCCGTAAACGTTTTCACCAGTGTCGGGAACTATCGTAAAGTCGCTTCTCTACCGCACATGTATTAAAGGCGCAGGACCGGCAGCAGGGCATATGTTAAACTGTCTCTTCGAAACAAGCAGAGACTCGGTCAGTGTAAGTTAACTTCTTGTACACTTTGTCAATTATGGCACAAAGTTATTTCTGTGAGGCTTGTTGATGTACGCATGTGTCTATATTCCTAATATTGTTTCTTCTTCTTTTTTCAGGCATTTAATTATTGAATAACATCATCCAACTATGTCAACAACAGGGGTAAGAAATGAAACTAGCCTGTAGATCTCATATCTAAGTAGTATAAACTGAGTTTATTGCTATGAAGCGAACATTGTGTTCCTTTCGTAGGTTACTATGGTGTGAAAACAGGGACACAGTCATTACAAAACAACGAACCACGCCCAGCTAAAAATTCACCTGTCAAGTCACAAATATAACCAACACATCCACTTTCTCTTTTAGGTCATCAGATGCAAAGCAGCTGTTGCATGGGAGCTTGGGAAGCCTCTCACCATTGAGGATGTGGAGGTGGCCCCACCTAAAGTGCATGAAGTCCGCATCAAGGTCAGCAGATCACCCCAAAGTTGTCTGTAATGCAGGAAAATATGTCTCAAAATGTAGTTTTAAATGGAGGTACTTAGAGCAAACACTCAGGTGTTAACAGGTGGAAATGTATGAGTGGGAATGATTGGTAGTAGAATGTGTTAAATTATATAAGAATGAAATAATAAACCTGGATACATGTGATAATGTTGAATTTCCCTCAGTGACAAATGTAACCACACAGGAAGTATTTGAAAGCAGCTGACTTCCTCTGTATACTTCCTAAAATTGAGTCACATGAATGACATTGTTTATGCAGATTATTGCCTCAGGCGTGTGCCACACAGACCAGGAATACCTGACTGGACAGTTCAGACAGTTCCCATTGGTTCTCGGCCATGAAGCAGCGGGAATAGTGGAGAGCGTCGGCCCTGAAGTCACAAAATTCTCACAAGGTGAATCTTACAGCTCACACAAAGAAGCAGAATAGGGACATGACAAGACAGTTAACTCTGACTTAAGTACTTTTTTGTTTACACAGGGGACAAAGTTATTCCTCTTTTTCTGCCACAGTGTGGGGAATGTGAACGATGTCTGAGTCCCAAAACCAATCAGTGCAGGAAGAACTGGTGATCATGAATACATTTACACACATACACATCTTTCTTGTGTTTATAGTGTTTTAATACTCATTGTTTTCCTTTTGGTGTTTTTTAGGGCAAATACACAAGCGGGTGTAATGGCTGATGGCACTAGCAGGATATCTTACAAGGGCCAGCAGGTGTACCAGTTCCTTGGAGTCAGCTCTTTCTCCCAGTACACTGTGGTCCCAGATACCTCACTAGCAAAGATAAGAAGTGATGCACCGCTTGACAAAGTGTGTCTACTAGGGTGTGGCGTCTCTACCGGTTATGGTGCTGCGGTTAAAGCAGCCAAGGTAAGAGGATCCACATCTGCCTGATAGATGCATTCAAATTATAATTTGAATGCTCGCCAGCTCTGATACCATCCTGTGGTTGTTGTGTGAGGAACCCTACCTGTAGTGTGAACAAGAGGGATGCAGATGCAAAGATTATTTACGGACATGCCACAGCAAATCCACTAAGAAGAAAAACATTTAAGTTGTATGTTGTATGTGACATTAGTCAGGTGTTTCCCCAGTTTGATTAATGGTACAAAGCATGGCTGCAGTTAATTATTTCCCCCACTAGATGTCAGTAGATAACATTGGCACCACATTCTATTCTAAAATGGTGCAAGGGACAAATAACCTAATTTCCCCCTGGGACATAAAGGTAGTCTGATAAGATCTGAAGTATACTTCATAGCATAGTGGGTTTAGAAAGAGTTTGGTGTAAGAGACTGAAAAGGTATGGTAAAGATTATTGTGTATAACATCGACCTAAACACAACATATAGGAAATTATCTAACTATTTTAAATATTGCATACATGTTGGATTGCTCAATAGCATTGTAGGGGAAAATCTAACCCTAAAACAATGTAGAAGTGTGAATACAATTTAAATAATGTTTAAGAATTTTTGCGTGCCTGATAATAATCTTTCCTTTCAAAAAGCGCAAAAAATCGTTTATTTAAACAAATCTGACATACAGTATGTTTTTAGGCTTAAACACATGATTGCATTAAATAAAAATGGACCTCTTAAAGATAACATAAATAAAAATGTTATAATCAATGTGTTAAGAAAATGTATACTTATATGAAAGTTATCTCTGAACATGATACAGTGGTCTCATCAGATGTCTCCTAAACAGCTTTTGGTTGACTGACTCCCACATTGTGTGCATCCAGGTCGAGGCAGATTCCTCGTGTGCCGTGTTTGGCCTCGGAGCTGTCGGACTGGCGGCCATCATGGGCTGCCAGGCTGCTAAGGCCAGCAGGATCATTGGCGTGGACGTAAACCCAGAGAGGTTTGAGAAAGCCAGACTGTTCGGAGCCACTGAATGTGTCAACCCCAAAAATCATGCCAAGACCATCCAGGAGGTTCTGCTGGACCTGACAAGCGGGGGGGTGGACTACGCTCTGGAGTGTGTCGGGAGTCCAGTTGTTATGGTGGGTGTACAGGTGTAAATGTAGAGTAGGTACCATGTGGGAATCAGTACTCTGTCACTACATGCTGGTTTGTAATACAGCATGTACACATTGTTTGATAATAAGTTTGTCAAAATGATGCACTGATCCTAGTTTGATTATTGTTAATACATTTTAAAAGGAGTATTATTTGACACAATGGCTTCTGTGTGTTGTCCTAGACCTCTGCGTTCGAGTCCACTAGAGATGCCTGCGGAACCTGTGTCATTGTAGGATGGTCGGAGTCTGAGGCAATAAACATCAAGGTTGAAAAGCTCCTGATGGGACGCACCTTGAAGGGGACTTATTTTGGAGGTGAATTTAAAATAAGTTACAAGGCCTGTTACTTCAAGGAAAAAAATGGCCAATGCTTCATCAACAATTGTTTGTTAGTGGCATGATAAAGAAATGTAAGGATAAGTGAAAACTTAAAAGGAAATATCATTGTTCACATGAAGACTGAACAAGTCAAGATCCACCCTAAAATATAAAATGTTGTGTTTCAGCCGTCGCATTTCTAGTGCAAAGTTGATGTTAGCAATTCTTTTTGGGTCTTAATGTTTTGATTATGGCTTTAATTAATGATTTGTGATTTGATAAGAATAATAATAGTCAAACAACGGTAGTAGGTCAATCACAAGAGAAGTTTTCAGAGAACTAAGGTGATGTCTTCAAATCATTAGTGTTGTATAATCACCAAGTATTACATTTCTAATGACATAAACCAGAAAAACTAAGATATAACCAGTGAAATATTTATACGTGCTTTTGACCAAATAATGACTTCAAGAAATAAATGGTCATCTAAATTGCCATATACCTCTTAGTTAATCTTACGTTTCAGCTTGTAAAGTAAAGTATTTCTTCTTGAGTCACTCAAGCCTGCAACAACAAGTTCACTAAGAAGACTGCTGGTATATTATATAATTTACAAAAAATGTATCCAAAAGAGAGGGGAAAAAGCTTTTCTTGGAGTTTATTAATATCCACTATGTAGTGGTTCATGAGTTTTGATCCTTTTCTTCAGATTGGAAGAGTGTGGAGGATGTGCCTAAACTGGTGGATGACTACATGAATAAGAAGCTGAAGCTGGATGAGTTTATCACCGACCAACTCCCACTGGAGAAAATTAATGTGGCCTTTGAACATATGAAAAAAGGGAAAGGGTAAGACCTGGTTTATTTGCTGCCACTCGTTTTTAAAGTTGTTCTGGAAGTGAGAGTGTTTGGGTCTCCTTGTATCACTCACAATAGTTTTTCTTCTTTCTTTTTTTTTTAGCATCCGCACTGTAATCAATCTGTGGCCAGAGGAGACTACACCCACAGTGGAAACAGTTTAACATTACAGACAGATGAAGAATCAACATTCAATATCATTGTAATTATATTTTGCTTATCTCTGCTGTGTTTTTGTGAAAATCGAAATGCTTCTTTCCCTTAAAACATACATGTCAAACTCAAGGCCCGCGGGCCAAATCCGGCCCTTGGTGGATTTAATTTTGGCCCGCAGGATAATTTCTAATAACTATTAGATCTGGCCCGCCGGTATATTGCACGCACACCTTCACTCAATCCTGAGGATTTCCTCAGCTCAGAGCCTGAGCCCAAACATTGATGAACTTGCACCCGAGATGAGATGCCAAGTATCTGGCTTGAACTAGCATCACAGAGCAGCACACTGAGTTTCAATGGATGTTTCCTTCTACACTTTTTATCTTGCGACAACAGGGCATGTTTGTTTTTTTCTTTGAGGGAAATAGTTTTTTTGAAGCTGTTGTTGGCCTGTGGAGAAATGTAATCATAAGAAATGACTCTGCAGATAGAGCCATAAGAAATGAATGCAACTGATTATTTAATGTTGTTTTTATAGGCAATCATTTAAGCTTTGTTAGTTCCAGGTTTAATATGTGCAATAAGTCAATACGTTTTGCAATACACATTGAACCAGTCCGGCCCTCGACTAGTACCCATTTTTTAATTTTGGCCCACTGTGTGTATTTGAGTTTGACACCCCTGCCTTAAAAGATATTGACAATTAGAAAATGACACAATTGGCCACTAGATGGCAGTCTCATAGCATGTAAAAGTCCATGTGTGTCCACAAATTCATCTAACTTTATGAATAATACTTTTTTACATGTAAAAGGTACTTCATTTTCATTCAGATTACATTCAGAGGTTGTTTTCTTTCTTATTTATCAAAGACTTGATCGAAAGAGAAACACCACAGAAGTGCACACAATTATACTAAATGTAATTCACTTATTTATTTATACATCATCTGCAGTAACATCAAGACACATCTCTCTGAATCCATCAAATCTGGCAGCTATACATTAATCCTGGTACTCATATCAATGTGAAGCAATAGTCCGAATTAAATACCCTTGTAATGTGTGGAAGACGGGCTAAAAGTCTCAGAAAACAAATGGCTGAATCTGTCATCAGCCGTGGAGAAGTATCTGCTTCATGTGGTCAGGCTTCCCAAATTTCGTCCTTGGTAATATTATATATTGATTTAATGGGGAGAAGGGCTTGAATAACAGTTGTGGGCTGTCAGGACACAAGACAAAAGGTTGTTTGGGGAATGCCTCTCGGTGCAGAACTGAAATAGCTGTCGGAGGAATTTGTTTTATTGAAGTTCCATTCAGATCAAATGAATACCTTTGGCAGTTCCCTCTGCTTTTCCGTCTCTATTTAAACTGGAAAATAAATTGGTGCTCTCCTTCATGTAGGTCTCCTCTGCGTGCGTGCTATCAATCAGACATGACGCACTTTAGACCACACCCCCTCCTCCCAAAGAAACTTTTCAAGAATACGAAAGCAGTAAGGAAGATCAACGGACAGAGGACGAGTTGTGACGGGTGTTTATGTGACTAGACATCCTCATTTTAAAATGTGTGACATGCTTCCAGATTTGTAAAGCTTTCTTGGGGCCTTTTGCCTGAATATCTAAAGTTACTTATCTTTTATTTCCTCTTTGTGTTTGAACTTTAAAACCTCTGTAATTGTCTCAGCTTTTTGCAACTTGGAGGATATGCTATCTACATTTCTAAAAGTCTTAACAGTCCATCTTATATTTTGTATTTGTGTAACTTTTCTGCAGATATCTTCTTGATAGGAAATGTGTTATAAGTGGCATAGAGTTAAACAAAAATATAGACAGCTAACATTTGCAAATTGAAATCATATTTACATTTTTATTTCTGGGTTCATTTGTTTCCCCTCTTGCTGTCATGTCACTTCACGGCGACGTCTCTTTAAGGCGTGAGTCTTCATGGAGATAATTGACAAACAACAGAAATGTCAGATGAGGTAAATGTCATCACACAAATAAAAGCATGTCTGGAAAAAAATGTCAAAAGGTGTCACCTTGATTTTAAGAAACGTCTTATTTACTTAGAATTTACCATATTCCTGTGTGACAGATGGCATATTATTAGGAGAACACAACTATTTTAAAACCCGCTTTCTTTTTGTTAAAAGCAAATCAAAAATATAATACACTGACACCCATGTACGCACATCTTTAAGGGGAAATAAGGTCGCACTGATTCAACTGGTAATTAATTTAATGAGAAATACATGCAGTGTATCCAAACTACAAATTATACTATTTGTATACCCAATGAGTTATTATTTTGATTTGTATTTGTCTATATGTACAGTTGTATGTTACTTATTTTAGAACATATATAAATAGAGTTGCCTTCACACAAGAAACAATGACTTTTGAGACGTCTTATCAGAAAAATAACTTGTGTAAATAAAATAAATCACGCTGGCTGAATCAGATCTAGGGGCTCTACTTTTAGCATCCGTGTATTGTGCATGCCGGCTCCCTGCTACACTCTCATGGTTTACTGGGATGTTGAATTGATCTGACATGACAGCTCAAATGTCTGCTGTAAAAATATCCTATTGTATAATTGATAGAACATTTCCTAATTTCAATTAGGCAGATATGTATTCTAAGCTCATTACAAGGCCAAACTGTTGTGTGGAATGGCTGCTGAAATCACATGAATCAGTTAAAAAACCTTCTGTATTAACATCTCAGAGAAATAAGCTGAAGGGGAAAGCACATCTGAAAGAGACACAGCCAGTTAGGCCGAGAGATAGAGGGATGGATATACTGTAAGGCCCCAGCGGCTATGGAAGAGCGACCCACTTAAGTCACTAAAGACTGCCAATGTGAGGCCCCTGCTTTATCAGCAAATCCTGGCCATTATACGGCTAATGCCAAGCATTGCCTGTGACATCCCCGGTCTTTCTCTGACACGGTTAGCTTTAGCTCCTGTGTCAGTGGAATACACCCAGCTTCACTTGAGGACAGCACAAAACAGTGCTTAGTGTTTCGGAGGGGGGAATCATTTTCCGCTTGATAAGTATACTGTGCAGGAACAAATCTGACACAGTAAGGTATTGTTATCAAGGGCAGGCCCATTTTAACTCCAACAACTCCTTTTGACATCATGGAGGGCATTAAAAGAGTTTATAGGGTTTAAACTTTCAAGTTTTTAAATGTGCACTACTGATGTTTTAGAGTAGTCTATTTGTACAATATGGCACAGGTGCACTGTTTCAAATACAATTCATGCAGAAGTACTAACAGCAAACTTATGCAAGCCAAAAATACAAATAGTTTGAGACATATAGGCTACTTATTTCCTGAAATCCTATACAAAAATAAGACAGTTTTTGGCACTCATAATAATTACGCTATAAATGTCTTCAGTCCCGCTCTTTAGAGGCCTTATGGTAATATAAACCCTCCTAACTCTGATAATGGCTGTATCATGCTCGTTGCATTCAGCTATGCAACGCCATGTGTTTCCTATTTTGAAACTTGTCATTCATATTGTGTCAGTGTTTTATAGTTAAGTTGCAACAGAAATAGACAACAAAGAATAGGATTAAACAGACCACACATGGCTATCACCAGAGAGACACATAAGCACACACACATAAGGGCTGTATGCGTGACAGCTCTAAGCTTTTGTTGTGTATTGTCTGACAGCAGCAGTAAAGTAGTAATTGAGAGATTACCTGTAAGGTGCTATCATGGCACTCCTTTATTTGAGCTCTGCCTCATTGGCCACTGAGAACATTACTAGTATGCGTGGGAAGGAGTCATACATCGAGGTTGTTACTGTAGTTTGCCTTATTTTAGCTCTTTTGAATCTGTCGTAAAGGATTTGCTCGAAAAATGGCATTTATAGCCAAAACAATGTCCAATGTAATGTTTCAATTACAGGTAGATTTCATACCTTGATTCTCTAATGGCAGGATTGCAACGTCAGATGTTTTTTAGATATAAATAATTTAAATTAAATTCCAGGCTCCTCCAACAATGCAACTTAATAAGAAACAGTGTAATAGTTTTATAAAAAAATAAATAAACAATGGTGCAAAAGAATCAATATTGTCATAAATGTAAACAATATTTTATAAAATCCTAGAAAAGGTGCAATAATACTACTCATGACCTCGCGGGCCTGACAGAACTCACAGATTTGGATTCAGCCCTATCCTCTCTGCCACAATGCTTTTTTCCGTGTGCCAACATTGAGTCAACAGTAACTTCATGTGGTTATGGGCTGAAGGTAGGGGGAGATATTTCTCTCAGACCCCGTGTGTTTACCCCCTAATCCCTGAGAAGAAGTTCACAAGCATGAGTAAAGTACAGGGATCTTTAGCTACCTCCCAAACCTGCTCAGTTTACCGCTCCCCGGTTTTTCACAGCCACACGGGGCTTGGGTAATTCCTGGGAATGTTTTTTGTGTGTGTGTCGAAGTAAGAATATAATTGGTATGAAATTACAGGTTACGTTCTTAAATGGAACAATCGACAATGGTCTTTACAATGTGAATGTATGCCCTTTTTAGCAATCTGTTACTTCTATATATTAAAACATTTCACAGCAAGTTTAAAAGAAAATACATTAGTAGCAATGCAGACTGTGAATGGTACGCAAATAATGCACTCATGGTAGCAAATATAGGCTATAGAAATATGTGTTTTATTCTTTTGTGCACCTTTGTACATAAAAACTTAATTGGTAAGATATATTTTGCTAAGTATATTCAGAGATAGACTTTTGAACTGTATTCTTTAGGCCAAAAAGAGGATACTTAAACTTGGCTAATGTTATTTTATTTTAGGATTTAGCAACATCAGGAATTGCGATTGTAGATTGGATTTAACTGAATAGCCCTTCACTCATCCCTCCCTTTATTAGACATCGGTAACAAGCAGCCGAATGAAAAACTGTGGAATCTTTCACAACCTTTACCCCGCTGAGAGGCCATGCTAAAAATAATGCTATGACAAAAGCCATGAAATGTAAACAATGGCTGCAGTTACTGGAGTTTTATATGACAGAACAATGGTGGCCTTTAGGTAACGTAAAAAACACCAAAGACCTTCCCTATGTAGATTTGAAGGCTGCATTATAAAGGCAATACAATGTATTCTAAGTTTCAGGTGATTATACTCAAATGAAAACATATTTATGAGATAATATTGAACATTACATTTCTGCTAATAGATATATCCCTAAACAGATTAACCCCTAAAACACACACAATCAATTATTACTACTACTGATAATAATGAAATCATGTTTGCCTGATTGCAGCTCTGTAAATGTGTCAGGTATAGGGACCTATTCTGCTGCTCCTCTCCTTTTGAACTGCTTTGGATGAGAGTGACACAAAATGCAAACGTCATCTAAAATGGATGATAGTTCACTTTTCCTTGAACCACTGAGAAAAATGTTTTTGCACTTGTTGTGTTTGGCCCTGACCAAGACTGGCTCTGAAGACTTCTGAGTTGTTATGTCTGGTTTGTTACATTTGTGTCTTTCTTGATATATCATCCAGTGTGGCTTCAAATGATTCTCAAGGTTGTGGTAGGACAAGAAAAAATCCAAATGAGTGTGCGGTGAGTCATAGTTTCTTGTTATACTGCCACAGTAAAGTACATCACTCTGTTTTTCTCCTGCTCCTCCTGACAACTCACAATCACTGCTCCTGGCCCGCTGCCAGGCCACAGAAGGATTTGACCAAAAGCTAAAAAAATACACTTTGAACTGAAAACAGTCAAAACACTTCTTTGACTGGTAATTGTGGTAAAAAGAAAGAAACCTGAAATGATCCATTATAGGTGCCTGGGCCCATTACTCATTCTCAAGCATCCCACAGTTTTCTTTTATATTTTGGCAGGCAGTATTGAAGTGAGTAATGCTGAATATATATTTAAGTATATTTTAAGTATATATAGCCTGTAAAGAGTCAAATGAGTTTACACAGCTGACATGAAGAACTAACTAACCTCAGATTACTTGAGAGCATCAATCCAACCCTAATGATACAGTTTAGCAAGTGTCTATATCATAAACACACATTTATTTTTAATTGTCAGCAAACGTTAAGAACTTTGCAGTATACAAATCTGATTGAGTGTTGATAGCCCGTCAATAGCCAATCATTATTGGTTGATAACAAAAAATTATAACCCAACAGAAAAGATAAGACTTGTAAACACATGTACAGTATTCACATGTTTCAATGGTACAACCCAAAGTATAAAGAGGTGGAAACACATTTTTAAATAAAATAACTATATAATAACAAATTAAGAAGTTGAGGACATTACATTGAAAAACTATATACATCACTTTATTTAGGCCATAATAAATAAATATGATATATTAAAAAAGTATGTATGTTTGCAGTCTTGCAACTCCACAGGCCTTTTATTATCTACTTTTAGTGAAGTACAAATGTACAAGTCATGCTGGAGTTTGGATATCATGTTAATGTAGAAAATATAAATATATAGCTAAAGTTTCTTAGGCGAAATACTGGGATCATTTTCAATAGCCATAAGGTCTATAATGCCTTGGAAATAATGTTTGTAAGTCGGGTTTAATGACACAATAGATTAATGGTTGCAGGATGTTCCTTTTTTAACCCCCTGTAGTTATTCTGTTAGTTATCCAAAGTATTTCCAAAGTATACGACCCCCTCCTATCTTGACTTAAATTAGCTACAGCAGCAGAAATCCTGAATGCCTTTGGGAAGTTAGTTTTTAAGAAGGTTCACATTGTAAGGTCAACTTCACCGCTAGCAAAACACACAGATTTAAACTTTGGGAGCGGATTTAACATCAAATATGTAATCCTAAACAGGGAGGTTGGACATGGACAATATTCTCACAAGCTCACACTGAGAAAACCAACAGTTCGCTGCTGCCACCGCAGCGCCGCCGCTTTACCAGAAGTCTCTCTGTCGCCCCTCATCTGAGCTGGAGTCTCGGTGTGCTTCGTGTTTGCCTATACTTCCCAAATCCCTGAGAGCA